AATAATCGATTATATATTAACTCAATTTTTGAACTAGATTAGTTTTGACTTATGAGTTATATTGGTTTTTAAACAACATATATAATATTCACAAAACAATTATCAATAAATTTGAATATTTTTCAAATGAACTTTTGTATCTAAAAAATCCAAATTTAAAAATATTTATTGAAATATTAAATTTATTAGTTAAATATTATAAAGCATCTTATGAAACTATAAACTTTTGAAAATTATTTACAAAAGATAATAAAAATTTGATAATTATTTGAAATAGAGCTGATTAATGCAATGGATATTAAATTGAAAGTAAAATATTTAATTCTATTATATTTTCACAAATATTAAGAACTTATTTATATTAATTTGATTTATAAATTATTATAAAAGTATTGATTTATATCTGAAATAAATTCAATTTTTTTAAACATATTTGATAACCTTTTCAAATAATGTTATTAAATATTATTTAACCTTTATTTAATAATATAAACTAATTAGTTTAACAAAAAATAGGTTTTATTTCAAATTTGAAAATAAAATAAATGTTAAATTATAAAGTAGTAAATTTTATTTAGTTAGATATAAATGTATAATTCCTATTCATAATATCTTTGATTGATTTATTCAATTTAGAACCTCAAATCAGCAAGACTTTTGAAAAATTAGTTGTAATTTCTTTAATTATAAATATAATATATAAATTAAAAATTTAACAAATATATGAATTTTAAAATTTTAATAAATGTCTGATAATTTTTTGAGAAAATTTTTGACAAAATATATAGTAAAAATAGTACAAATTATATAGCAAATAATATTGAATTATATAGTAAAAATTGATTAATGATTTATTTATGCTGAATTGTATAGTATAAATTGATAGATAATTTATTTATACCAAATTATATAGTAGAAATTGATTGATGATTTATTTATATCATTAATATGCCAAATTATTGATTTATTGATAAATATTACATAAATAACATTATCCCAAATAAATATTTTTTAACTAATATTATTGATATATTATTTTCTTTTTGTAAAAATAAAATTGATAAAATAAAGTGCAGTTTCTGGGCTTTTGTTTGATAGATAAATCTTTTAAATATGATTGAATATTGTATAGTTTATTTCTTAGTTATTAGCTTAAAGTAGTGTAATGTTTTTTAACCAGCTTCTTTTTTTCAAAGAAATTACATAAAGGAAAAGGGGTCAGTAAAAAGAGTTTTTTTTTTAAAAAAAAAGAATTGATACTATCAATGTGCTATAAACTTATGGATATGATTTTTTTATAAAAATAATATAATACAAATTGAAAAATAAAAAATCCCAAAAATTTTTTTTTAAAAAAAAAAACTGAATCTGATATATACAGTAATTCGAATAGAATTAATATTAAAAATAAAGTAATTATGTAATTTAAAATTTTGTCCTAAAAATAATCTAATAAAGTTAAGTCTAATATACTGTATATAGTAAATTGAGTTTACATGTTATTTTGATGATAAAACTGATATTGAAAATAGATTAATTGCTTAATTTAAAATTTTTTTCTAAAATACTATTAAATCCAATTTGCATATAATCTGAACTTATTTGCTTATTTTAATATTAACTAAAATATAATTAAAACAATAAAAAATTAATATTATTATAAAATTTTTTTAATTTAGTTAAATCCAATACATCTCAGTTCGATTAAATATAGATGGAGAGAAGTTAAATCCTGGATAAACAAAAACAGAAAACTATATTTAAAAAAAGTGGTTAGTGTGGGTGGAATAATAAAATTTGTGAATTTATAGATACTATGCCTAAGTTAGGCTTTTTTTTTTTTTAGGTAGCAAAGATTAACAATAAAGGGACGAGGACGCTGAGTTATTCGCAATTGAGGTTGGAATCACGACGGAAATGATAGTATTAGCAAACCCTGCCCTTGGCTATATTTGATCTACCGAATTACTACATAAGTCTACCCAATCCTGCGGGGGGACTAATTTCGAAATGGAGTCGGGTAATTCTACAATTTGAACAGTCATTCCTGATAATACGTGCCACTAATTGTTTTTACCAAATACATTGAACATTAGTAGAATATCGTAGCTACTATGTCGAATGGAAACGATTTTTTTTTTTTTTTTTTTTTTTTTTTTTACCTCGGTGTGACAATGAAAACTCCAAACTCCAGGATTATCTACGACGAATCGAATTACTATCCACCTAAAGATGAAATGTACGTTCAATCAATTAAACATTTAGACGCAAAGCATGATAAAGTAATGGAGAGCGTGGTAAAAACAGTGCAGAGTGAAACGCGAAACAAACCCAGATCCTGCAAGTGTTATGGAATCTCGCTTAATTGGATTGACCAAATTCATTTCTTTGTTTTTTAAAGGCAAAGTCTCTGGACGAGGAATTACACCCGTAAAATTATATTTGAAAGAGCCCAGTACCCAAAATTTATGACCGTGCTATGATTAAATAATTAAATGAATTAATACGTAATTTTGATGGTAAAAAAAGGTGACGAGGATTGAAATCCATGTCTTCACTATCTACCATGTGAAAAGGATGTTCCTGACTGTTTAAATCTAACAAAGTAAACAACAATTAATTATTGATACAACAGTTATAATCGATAAAAAGCGAATGTACTGTATATATTGGAAATGCTCACTGTATACAATGATGTCAATGACTTGACCAGGTTGTGTGAATGTAAAAACATTTTGATTTGCGTCAAATTCTTGAACTCCCCGATAAACCTTATGTAGCGTTGAAACGTTGTCATCCGGTACGTACATACTCCCGTTAATGTAACCCTCGGTCATATGATATTGAGCTGTTAACATTATAGTTAAGTCACTTGGCGGCAATGCTTCGTAATAATAGGGTTTAAGATTAACCAATTGATCCAAATCTTTCCATTCCGACATGACTGAATCATTCCAAAATTGAGTAGTTGGTTCCTTTTCATCAGCCCCTTCGTAATGAACTATTGCGTTGTTATATGTTCTGGTGGTTTTTGGTTTTACGAAATGAACGGTATAATCGAAAGCTGATCTCATCCAATAATTTGAAATCTCTTGATCGGCTTTCACTATCACCGAATATCTTTGACCCACGTTCAAAGGAACTGTCGTAAGTGTATATTTTTCTATGTAATCTCCCTCAACTTCGATTACATCAAGGATATGATTGTCTATAGAGAAGAAGAATGCTGCCCATGTACTTTTTAAATAATTGGTTTAAAAACGTTTTGTTAAATGATCAATATTTTAGAAACTTCTTATTTAGATATAAAGCCGTTACCTAGTATTAATAATATGGAGGCGATATCTTTTTCCGGGCACGAAATCAAATCTCGAATATTCACTACTATTGCATGTTGCATTTGAGTAATGCATCTCACAATCAAATCTATTTTTTCCATTTATCAAACCATTATTCGGATTTGGCTGTAATTTGTAAAGTTACAATCACAACAAAAAAATTAACGGATAAAACTCATCTGAATTGGTACAATACCTCAATGTAATGATTTTTGAAATACAGCTTTGCTAGAGTCATCCTTTCCACGTGATACCATTCGCTCAAAATTACGACATATTCTTCTTCGTACTCGTCTAAATACGGGTCTTGAGGATCGTGAACGATGAATGCTCCGTAAATTCCATCGGTATACTGCCCCGGATAATGCGCATGACTTAAAATACAAAAGTTAATTCAATTCATGTTTACAGTAATTCGTATTTCTTCGGTTGCAATTTTTGTGTCAACGCGCGTATATTCAAATAAATACTTACTACCAATAAGTTCCCACTTGATTCACCGTATAATTATAAGTGAAAGTGCCTTTCGGTGGAATACCACACTGAGAACTTGCTACAGAACCATCATACCAAGGAGTTCCTCGTTGAAAAAGACCATGAACATGAATGGCTGTCAACTCATCTAAATTATTGTAAACATTCATAATCACTCTATCTCCCTTCGTAATTTCAATGGTTGGACCAGGCATCTGTTCATTGATCGTCCAAACCCGTCGACCCACACCATCTGGTGCTCCATAGATGATGGTGACATTAAAATTGTACACGTGCGTCTTTGGCGTTTGTGAACGAGAAGACAATTTCAGTAATTTGAAATTGTCTTCTTTTCTGTTAGAAGTTGTATCCGCACATGAATTTGTAAACAATGTAATCCAAGTGATAAAATGAATGCAATGTAGTAATAACGAAAATATGCAATTATTCATTTTTTTTTTTCTCCAATGAACTCATCCAGAACGTGTAGGACTTAATTTATAACCTTTTCATCGATTTATTGCTTGTTTCCTTCTCATGTTTTCATTATTCCTAAAGCCACAAATTAACACCAAACAATCCACCAAAGAACTGGAGAACCCAAACTCACCAAATATTACTGCATAAAATGGCTTGGAGATTATTTATTTGTTGATATACTGTATTTACTAAAATGGCTTTGAAGAGCATCTCTTTTTTTCTTTTCTTTACCCATGTATGTGCATTTGTCATTTCCGAAGGATCGATATGGCTCAAGTTGCCTAGTACGTGGCGACTTCTGTTTTTTATAATTACTTTTTTAAGAAAGAAGGAAAAAATTTTGCCAATTCGTGTTTGATAAAATTGAAGAGAAAAAGGAAAAGGAAGAAAGACAAAATTATATGGCGACACCGTTGGACTAGACTTTTCCTCACGACGAAATATTCACACAGTATGTTAACTAATAATGAACGTATAGTCTATGTATTCAATGCCTTCATCGGAATGGCCATGATTTTACTTACAGTATAATTTTGCCAAAATTTTCCAACTTTTTTTTAAGCAGATACATCTTTCAACTTTCATTCACTGCCCGATAGTCTTCTTCTTTTAGACGCCTCCTCGGGAAATTCCAAGTGGTAACTTCTTAAGGATACATTCGATGATTAAATGTGGTCGTAAAATACGGTAAATGGGATTCGATTAATTTAGCATCAACATTGATACAATACAAGAACCGCATTTTCCATGACGGCAAACTTCTACACAGGGATAGTTTTACTCGTGAGGTTTTCTTTCATGATTACAACCTCAACATGATAAGGAAATTACCGGCTAGAAAATTAACTGCAATAATTCGAGATCGTGCGACCGTTTTTGCATTAGACAAAGATTCTATCACTATTTTTCGAATCGGATTTCCTCTCGCCAGAATTTTTAAAGATTGAAATCTGTGGTAGATTGTAATGTCGGTCGGAGGGTGTGAAAAATAAAATTAACCCGTCATCAGATTTTTAAACATCGTCAATGATGTCAACCACCGAAATATTTAGAAATTTATATTCAGTGACTCGCACATGATAGGCAGTAACAAACCAAAATTTTTAAGATGGGTCCGAAGCGTAAAGTTTCTTTAGGATCTCGGATACAATACATTGAATCAGCGTGATGCAACTCGTGAAATACGTAGCATAAGTTTTCGAGTAAAAGCAAATGACTCTTGTGGTTCAATTTCGTACGCTGTCCCGAGCAAACGATCAGTCTGCTTTAACTCGGCACAGTTCACGTAACCTGCGAATGACCACAACACAAAACAAAAACCGAAACAATGGCTAGAGGTGAGAATCATTTGGTGAGTTTTGAAAAGACACTACACTTTATTCAATCGAAACACCACGCTACGAAATTAGGTAGCGTCGAAGAAGTGCTTATATGCAAATTGAACTGCCTTTATGTAATAATATGTTAAACTCTTTCTCATTTACCATCCGTGCTTGCGCCATAAAACAGCGGCTTTTTCACAGCCACCTATTGTTCTAACGTAAAAATTTGACGATTCGGGGGCTGATTCGTGATTTGCAGTAATTCTTTTTGAGGTGGACATGATGTTTTCGGTCCCCAAAATTGTCACCCCGAAATTATTACTAATGATGCACTGTATAGATAAGGATTAATCATTTTACACATTTCAATTTAAGTTTAATTCAATAGAATAAGAAATAATGTTGTACCATCTAGTGTAAACACTTTATTTTACCAATATCATGAATAGTATCATTGACTATATCAGAAGATAGATAGTTTAACTATTTTATTTTTATTGAAAATTAATATTGTCTAAAATATATTGATTTATATCTATAAATTAATTTATTGTTATTCACTATAAAATCTAATGTACTGAAATTTGTTCAAAATATCTTAATATCATCAATCCTATAATAGATTAATATAGAAAAAAATTTTTATAAAAAAAGAAGTGAGAAAAAAAAATTTAAAAATTAAAGAAATAAAATAAAAAAAAATTTTTTTTAAGTACTTTATAAAAGAATTAAAAAAAAAAGGTAAAGAATAAAAGGACTCTAACAATAATTTTTTAATTTAAATTTTGTATTTGTGGTTTTTATCTATTATTTTAATATTTATAGAAATTAAGAAATAAAAAAATATAATTTACCTTTTAATATTATAATTATTTTCTTTAAAAATTTGTTTAATTATAAACAAACTTTTTTATAAATTTTTATTTCTTATAATTCATAATATTATTAAAACATATAGATATTATCATTAAGTATTTATTTATATTTTTAAAACTAAGATATTTTATATCAATTACAGTAATTACCTTTAAAAAATATTATTATTTAAATTTAAAATAAATAAAAATTTTTAAAAAATTATAAAAATAAAAGTTTTTTTTCTTTATAAAAAAAATTTATAATAGTTTATTTTAAAAATAAAAAAGTCTTTAATCATTTTATAATTTTTAAAAAAACTTTCTTGCTATTAATAGCAAAAGTATTATATAATTTTTTTTGATTATCAAAAGTCAAGTTTTTAATTTAAAATATTTTATAGAAAAATATACTATACTGCATTTCAAATGCTATTTTAGATATTAATATTTTATTTAAAATATAAAAAACTTGTTTATTTATCAATTTTTTTTATTTTTAGAATCCTAATTATTATATTGACTTCTTTAAGCATTTATTCCTTTAATTTGGTTTCCATTTTTTGATTATTAATTCAAATTCTTAGAATTTTTATTTTTTCTATTCTATTAAACCTTTTAACTATTTCTTTTTATTAATTATATAAATCCCTTCAAAATACAATTAAAATTATTTACAGTTATTAGAATTGACAGGTTATTGTTAATTTAAAAATTATTGACTTTGTGAAAAATATTTATAATTTTTAAAAAATTTTTTATATTTTTTTTAGATTTTGCTATTTATATTGTATTAATCATAAAAGCTATAACTATATATTTTTAATTTTAATCTTATAATAATATATTATTTTAAATCAAGATTTCAAGTAACTGATATTTTATATCCTCTTTATATATTGTTTTGAATATTATAAAACAAAAAATTATAAAAAAAAATTTTATAACAATGTAAAGTTGGTTTTTTTCTAATTAATTTATTTTTTACTATTATTGATTTTATATGATCATTGTTAAATATAATTTAAAATTTTTTATTTTGAATAGATTAATTATAATCTTAATAAAATCTTTTGATATTTTGATTTTTTTTTATTACTTTTATTAATATTTTCAAAATAATTATGCTATATACTTTTGTAATATTCTAAAAAAGTATCAATGGTTTTTTTTTTATTTTTTCTAGCATCTTTATAAATATTATTGAAAATTTGAATTAGTTTAACTATATTTTCTCTTAATAGTTTTATATAGTTAAGATCTTTAAGAATATTATTGATTTTGTAAATATTTTATTCTATTGATAAGAATTTTAATAAAGTGCTTTTTTATAATTTCTAGTAATATAATAAGTCTTATATTTGAGAGTTTGAAATTCTATGGTTTTGGTTTGACTATAAAATATATATAATATTTTTTTAATAAATAGGGTTACTTTTCATTTTAAAAACTATTAAATATTTTTTTAGAATATTTTTTTCAATTAATTACATTAATATTTTGTAACTAATTTATAATTTTTTTGAAATTTTGTTGTTTGAAAATATTCAAAATATTTTATTTAAAAAATTGAGTTAAGCAATATTTATAAAGTTTTTTGATATATTCTTTAAATTTGTATTTTTTTTTTTAATTTCTTATTAAATTATTATAATTAATGTTTATTTTCTTGAATATCTCTTGATAATATTTTCTTATTTTTTTTTCTATTTTTTTTTTTTTTTTTGTATTATTATATATTTAATATCACTTTGCTTGATGTTGATTCTATCAAAACTATTTTGGTTCTTATATTATTTATTAAGAAACCAAATTTTCTACTTTAGTTTTCTTTAAATTATTATATTACTGTTCAAAAGTTGTTTTAATATTATTTTTTACTTTTTAGATTTCCAGTCTTTGACAAATAAATATTATTTTTTCTATCACATCTTGAATACCTTTTTAAAAATATCCAAGATATATTAAAAA